TAATGCTGCGTTCCAGACAACTCGGATATAATAACTATTATATTATATTATAGTATACATATAATATTATACTTTACATAATAATATGGCCTATAATATACTTTATATAAAAATATATATTATAGTATATAATATCTATATAGAGACGTTATTTCCGGGTCCAATACATTGGTTTTCATGCACGTCAGTTCATTGACAGATTTTTCCCCCTTTGAAGCATATTTAAATTACTTCTTTTATTAATTTTTTTGTTCAGTCATTTAATTTAGATGTGTATTTCTATTTTTTTGTTGTTTTCTGCTCTTTTGAATTATTTAATTTATAAATTCATTTAAGCAAACAAAAAAAGAGTAATAAAGTGTACAATAAAGTACAATCAAAAGCTTTAATTATAATCACATTGCAATTGAATGTGAACAGCTGAGAGTCCTCTTTAAGGACCCCTCAGAGGACCTCAGATAATGCCAACCCTGAAACAACATACAGAACTACCACATTTTGCTATAAGTTTGATTGCATTATATAATAATTGCTGTTAATAGTGTTCATCGTCTGTTTTATTACGTCTTAAATTGATTTTTCCGTACATTTCTGCCATATGTACATTAACTGACAGTCACCACTGATAAGCTACCACTAAATATTGTAGACTTAATTTGCTGTAAAGTTGCTTTGCAATGATTTGTATCGTGAAAAGCGCTGTACAAATAAACTTGAAACTTGAATTGAACTTTATATTCATCAAAGAATCTTTAAACAATGTATCACAGTTTCCACAAAAATTACATTTTAAAAATTTTAAATTATAATAATATTTCACAATATTATTATTTTTATTTTTAGTATTTGATCAAATAAATGCAGGCTTGGTGAGCATAAGAGACTTCTTTCAACAACGTTAAAAAATATACTGACCCCAATCCTTTGAACAGTAGCGTATATTATGATTTCTGTATTTATTTACTGTATTCTGCATTACTTCAGTGCAGTGCCTCCACTTGCCCACTATCTGTGTAAGGATTTCGGATCAGTAATTCACCTGGCTTCTGAGCCTCCCTTATGTCACATTGTGGAGACCATCTGGGTTTTAGGAGGCCCAGAGGTGTATAAGGTGAGAAGCCTGATTTATGCATATAAAGCGGCATAACGGTTTTCAACCTTTATAATAATAAAAAAAATCTGCATATTTAAAAGATTTCTAAAGGATCATGTGACACTAGCGACTGGAGAAATGGCTGCAGAAAATTCAGCTCTGCATCACAGGAATAAATTACATTTAAAAAAATTTTAATTATAATAATATTTCACAATATTATTATTTTTATTTTTAGTATTTGATCAAATAAATGCAGGCTTGGTGAGCATAAGAGACTTCTTTCAACAACGTTAAAAAATATACTGACCCCAATCTTTTGAACAGTAGCGTATATTATGATTTCTGTATTTATTTACTGTATTCTGCATTACTTCAGTGCAGTGCCTCCACTTGCCCACTATCTGTGTAAGGATTTCGGATCAGTAATTCACCTGGCTTCTGAGCCTCCCTTATGTCACATTGTGGAGACCATCTGGGTTTTAGGAGGCCCAGAGGTGTATAAGGTGAGAAGCCTGATTTATGCAACATACTGTATATATACAATGTAATTAGTGTAAATTTATACAGTAATTCAATTAATATTGTAACTGTGCTATTTAGGAAAGTCTTGAGCATCCATGTTGTGATCTCATCTATCTCACTGACATCATGGCCGACTTTGACTGTGATGTCTTTTTCCCAAAATTTGACCGCAATGTTTTCAGAAAACAAAAGGGGTAGGATTATCCCATTTATGATTTGAGTTACGAATATAATAAGGCAACACTTTACAATTAGGTCCTATTTGTTAACATTAGTTAATGCATCGTCTAACATTAACAATGAGCAATACATTTGTTTCAGTATTTATTCATCTTTGTTAATGTTTGTTCATTGTTAGTTCATGTAAACTCAGGTCCATTAAATTAAATGTACAGACACAACTTTTGATTTCAATAATGTAGTAAATGCTGAAATTAATATGAACTAAGATTAATAAATGCTTTAGAAGTATGTTTAATTGTGAGTTCATGTTAACTAATGTAGTTAACTGTTAACAAATGGAACCTTGTTGTAAAGTCTTACTGATAATACTTGCCTCATATTATGCATCAAATGCATTGTAATTTGTCTGATTAATTGTTGATTTTCTTTATATAAGCTTTCCCGGAGTACCAGATGAAATTCATGAAGAAAATGGTATTAAATTTCAATTTCAAGTCTTCAAGAAAGAAGCTTAAAACTGAAGCTGTGAAGAGACCAGACGGACAAACATGATACTGGAATTGTTTTATGTTTACATAATCTGAAACTACGGAGCCCCAAAGGGGACATGGTGATGGAAATAAATATGAGAAAGGAGGGAAAAATGCATTTGTGCTGTCTCGCAAAAACATTTACATTCTCTTTGAACTTTGTAGAATCTAACAATATTGCACAGAAGAACACTTTATCTCAAAGGCTCTGTTGAGAGCTACAGTATGTAACTGGTGGACTTCATCGCCATCTAAACCATAAGCATTTCACAGCGGCT